CCCATTCCCTGCAGCACCCCCGGGGCAGATTGACTTTCCTGGGGACAAGGTGAGGAGCAGCGAGAGGAAACGCCAGTTCCTGCCTCTGTCTGGTCCCCGCGCTGCTGGGGGGATGTGCTGCCCTGGGGACAGTGTCAGGGGGGATCCCGCAGAGCGTCTCCTTTGAGTCTGCTCCTTCCTCGGGTTTGGTTCAGACTGTGGGTGGAAATGCGCTCACTCCTGGAGGGAGAGGCTGGGTCTGTGGTATAATAAAGTGGGGCACAGAGTCAGGGGAAGTGAGTTGTTTTTTGTCCGGGTCCAAATTTCTTCATCAAGGTCCAGACTCCAGAGAGAATCATATAAAAAAATAGCAACAATAACAATCAATACATAAAAAAGATTTTGGGGTCCTCTTCAAAAGCATCTGGCAGGCCGGGTCTGGCCAGCCATCCGCGTATTGATTGCCCCATGTCTAGGGCATCTGCAGGGAAGGAGCCAGGAGGGAATCGGGGCATGAAATGGTGCCAAGGCCCATTTGAAACCTCCCTTCTCGCCCTGACAGGCTGCAGAATAACGTCTGGATTGGGAAATGGCTGCCGTGGAACCAGCTCAGGTAGGGGATTTTTCTGGAACGTATGGGGTCTCCTCCTGGAGGGAGAGGGGCAGAAAACGCAGGGTGTGTGTGAAGAAGATGGGGGTGAGCGGGCAGCAGGGGGTGGCAGACCTGTGCTGGGACTTGCATGATCTGGAGCCTGGTTTATAGGAACAGGCCCACTGGGAAGAAAACTATAGCATAGGTGCCGTGGTTATTCTCATCCATCCCTCCCCCCCCAGCTTGTGAGCAAGAATAGGTGCTGACTTTTATTTTTCCCTGGGAGTGCTCCACCCTGGCTCCGCCCCCTCCCCTGAAGTCCCACCCCCACTCTGCCCACTGTGGGTCAGCACCCATGCTTCTGAGTCTTGCTCTGGAGACTACCACAACCCTTCTCCCACCACCCCCCGCCTGGGTGGGTTGTGAGGGTTGAACCTCGGGATATAAAAGTGTGATGAGTTTCCAGCACCCGCGCTAAGGCGACAGCCCCATCAGCTCGGCTGCAGTGACAGACTTGGTGTGGAGCTGGTCAATTTTTTTTCAACCCCAGCATTTTCCCAGCAGGACCAGGTGCAATGGGAGATCACCATGGCTGGGATGTGGGGCAAACCCCTTGCCTTGGGGGAAGGTCATTGTGGGATACCCATCCAGCATCCCAAGAGGGAGGAGAGAGAGGCTGAGGAGCAGAGCCCTGGCTGGCCCTTGTCCCCGCGGACGCCGTCCCAGTCCTGGCTGGGATGCTTGGAGGGGGAAGATTCTCCATTGAGGACGGCGCAGACACCTGCCCGGTCTCGAGAAGGGGCAGACACTGCTGGCCTTGAGCAGGTGGTGCCGTCCCGTGACTGGCCTCATGGGGACGAGGTTCCTTCATTCACCCGGGAGGCACTTGAAACCTGCGGCTCCATGGGGACAGGCCCCACCAGGGGCTGTGCCGAGGGCAAGGCAGCCGTTTCAGAGCAGGCCAGCGAGGAAGCCCATCGCTTGCAGTTCCGCTCAGGCGCTGCCCGGCCCGGAGAAGCTCCCCGGGAGATGCTAGCCCGGCTCAGCCAGGCTGCTCGGCTCTGGCTGCGGCCCGGGGAGCGCACCAAGGAGCAGATCGTGGACGTCGTCGTGCGGGAGCAGTTCCTGGGGGCTCTTCAGGCGGACGTGCGGGCCTGGGTGACGGCGAGGGAGCCCCGCAGCAGCGAGGAGGCGGCTGTGCTGGCTGAAGCCTGCCTGGGGCAAGAGGAGCCGACCCAGCCTGCTCAGGTAGCTGAAACAACGCAAGATGGGGAAATGCTGAGGGAGCAGAACCAGGCAGGGGGCTGAGAAGGGATGATGGGAGAGACGGGTCTGATGGGAAATCAAAGGATAAAATATCGCCCCCCCACACCCTCCTGATATGTTGCTGTGGGGCAGGGGTGCTGGAATAGGGTGAGCCAGGGGGCCATGGCACATCCACTTTTCGCCATGGGCCCCACCCCTACCCTTCCTCTTCCCCCCCCGAGGCCCTGCTCCCCAACCAGGCCAGCAGCTGGAGCCCCGTGCAGGTGGAGGGTCTGCGGCTCCTCACAACTGCCCTCACGGCTCTTACCATGGCCTGGCTGCGGCTCCGAGGCCCCGGCCGGAACCGGGTTGGGGTAAGAGCCATGTGTGCAGCTGTGGGGAACTGTGGGCCCTT